GCTTACTGAGACTGAACAGTACGTCTAAATAAATAAAATAAGATTTATAAAATTACACTTCAATTGTAATTGACGACATTTTTTTATATACGTTTTATTTCTATTATGTTTTTTTAATTTTCGAGATTAATTTATAAATGGTATAAAACCAAGGATTTTCAGGCTTACTGGGACTGAACAGTACGTCTAAATAAATAAAATAAGATTTATAAAATTACACTTCAATTGTAATTGACGACATTTTTTTATATACGTTTTATTTCTATTATGTTTTTTTAATTTTCGAGATTAATTTATAAATGGTATAAAACCAAGAATTTTCAGGCTTACTGAGACTGAACAGTACGTCTAAATAAATAAAATAAGATTTATAAAATTACACTTCAATTGTAATTGACGACATTTTTTTATATACGTTTTATTTCTATTATGTTTTTTTAATTTTCGAGATTAATTTATAAATGGTATAAAACCAAGAATTTTCAGGCTTACTGGGACTGAACAGTACGTCTAAATAAATAAAATAAGATTTATAAAATTACACTTCAATTGTAATTGACGACATTTTTTTATATACGTTTTATTTCTATTATGTTTTTTTAATTTTCGAGATTAATTTATAAATGGTATAAAACCAAGAATTTTCAGGCTTACTGAGACTGAACAGTACGTCTAAATAAATAAAATAAGATTTATAAAATTACACTTCAATTGTAATTGACGACATTTTTTTATATACGTTTTATTTCTATTATGTTTTTTTAATTTTCGAGATTAATTTATAAATGGTATAAAACCAAGGATTTTCAGGCTTACTGGGACTGAACAGTACGTCTAAATAAATAAAATAAGATTTATAAAATTACACTTCAATTGTAATTGACGACATTTTTTTATATACGTTTTATTTCTATTATGTTTTTTTAATTTTCGAGATTAATTTATAAATGGTATAAAACCAAGAATTTTCAGGCTTACTGGGACTGAACAGTACGTCTAAATAAATAAAATAAGATTTATAAAATTACACTTCAATTGTAATTGACGACATTTTTTTATATACGTTTTATTTCTATTATGTTTTTTTAATTTTCGAGATTAATTTATAAATGGTATAAAACCAAGAATTTTCAGGCTTACTGGGACTGAACAGTACGTCTAAATAAATAAAATAAGATTTATAAAATTACACTTCAATTGTAATTGACGACATTTTTTTATATACGTTTTATTTCTATTATGTTTTTTTAATTTTCGAGATTAATTTATAAATGGTATAAAACCAAGAATTTTCAGGCTTACTGGGACTGAACAGTACGTCTAAATAAATAAAATAAGATTTATAAAATTACACTTCAATTGTAATTGACGACATTTTTTTATATACGTTTTATTTCTATTATGTTTTTTTAATTTTCGAGATTAATTTATAAATGGTATAAAACCAAGAATTTTCAGGCTTACTGGGACTGAACAGTACGTCTAAATAAATAAAATAAGATTTATAAAATTACACTTCAATTGTAATTGACGACATTTTTTTATATACGTTTTATTTCTATTATGTTTTTTTAATTTTCGAGATTAATTTATAGATGGTATAAAACCAAGAATTTTCAGGCTTACTGGGAATGAACAGTACGTCTAAATAAAAAAATAAGATTTATAAAATTACACTTCAATTGTAATTGACGACATTTTTTATATACGTTTTATTTCTATTATGTTTTTTTTAATTTTCGAGATTAATTTATAAATGGTATAAAACCAAGAATTTTCAGGCTTACTGGGACTGAACAGTACGTCTAAATAAATAAAATAAGATTTATAAAATTACACTTCAATTGTAATTGACGACATTTTTTTATATACGTTTTATTTCTATTATGTTTTTTTAATTTTCGAGATTAATTTATAAATGGTATAAAACCAAGAATTTTCAGGCTTACTGGGACAGAACAGTACGTCTAAATAAATAAAATAAGATTTATAAAATTACACTTCAATTGTAATTGACGCCATTTTTTTATATACGTTTTATTTCTATTATGTTTTTTTAATTTTCGAGATTAATTTATAAATGGTATAAAACCAAGAATTTTCAGGCTTACTGGGACAGAACAGTACGTCTAAATAAATAAAATAAGATTTATAAAATTACACTTCAATTGTAATTGACGCCATTTTTTTATATACGTTTTATTTCTATTATGTTTTTTTAATTTTCGAGATTAATTTATAAATGGTATAAAACCAAGAATTTTCAGGCTTACTGGGACTGAACAGTACGTCTAAATAAATAAAATAAGATTTATAAAATTACACTTCAATTGTAATTGACGACATTTTTTTATATACGTTTTATTTCTATTATGTTTTTTTAATGTTCGAGATTAATTTATAAATGGTATAAAACCAAGAATTTTCAGGCTTACTGGGACTGAACAGTTCGTCTAAATAAATAAAATAAGATTTATAAAATTACACTTCAATTGTAATTGACGACATTTTTTTATATACGTTTTATTTCTATTATGTTTTTTTAATTTTCGAGATTAATTTATAAATGGTATAAAACCAAGAATTTCCAGGCTTACTGGGACTGAACAGTACGTCTAAATAAATAAAATAAGATTTATAAAATTACACTTCAATTGTAATTGACGACATTTTTTTATATACGTTTTATTTCTATTATGTTTTTTTAATTTTCGAGATTAATTTATAAATGGTATAAAACCAAGAATTTTCAGGCTTACTGGGACTGAACAGTACGTCTAAATAAATAAAATAAGATTTATAAAATTACACTTCAATTGTAATTGACGACATTTTTTTATATACGTTTATTTCTATTATGTTTTTTTAATTTTCGAGATTAATTTATAAATGGTATAAAACCAAGAATTTTCAGGCTTACTGGGACTGAACAGTACGTCTAAATAAATAAAATAAGATTTATAAAATTACACTTCAATTGTAATTGACGACATTTTTTTATATACAGTAAAGTGTGTTGGTCCCAGTCCCTATAGAGGTGTCCCTTCTCAAGCGCAGTGGTGTATTCCTTTTCTATCCTTTTGGAGTCTACGATATCGCTCTCTTCACTCTCTTTCTCAAACTCTCATTTGTGGTCCAGAAGGACCTTAGAAGAGAAATATGAATTTTTATTGAATAATATAAAATGTAAGATAAGCGCGACAAATATGATAACAAAGGTAAAATACATTTCGATTAATAATAACATAGTAAGTAACGAGAGCATATTAGATATCCAGGGACTTATATTATAAGCGCTTTTATTTCCCTTTTCATTTTATTTATTGTAAGATTACATTGAAGATTAAATAGCTTTATTTAAACTAAAGAGAGGACTCCGCTTGCTCGCTGATTTAAAGCCTTAAGTGAATGCTGACTGAACCGACTATGGGAGTTTGTCTTTTGCTTTTAAGCTAGGATAAATTGATAGGCGGGGACTTTTACATTTTAGGATTTGCAATTTAAGTCTCCGCCTTACAACTTTACCCTAACAGTAGATCGTCCTCGATCTAATTTTTAAGTTTAATGGCTTCCCTTCACTCTCTCTTGTCCTATTATGCCTTCTTTTTGTGGTTCCTTTTTTTGGAACATCTTTTCTTGGGCATTTATCATCATTTTTTTTTATTTTCTTTGGATGCGAGAGTGTAACATTTGGGGTTATTTTTAAATCACTGATAGGGTTGTTGGTTCAGTTTCAGTTAATCAAAGAATTCAGTGAAACCTACAATCCTTTTCAATATTGTTATAACATAAGACATTTTTCACGAAAGGGCGGGATTTGATGTTTCAGTTCTTTTTTTTACGCTACAGCTGCCTCTTCCCTATGCGTAGACCGTCCTCGGTCTGTTGTCAAATGATGTTTTGTCGTTTTCTTTTTCCGAAGTTTTGCTTTTGAATAATATTTCATGCTGATTACCTTTAATTTTGAAGATTCCTGTGACGATTTAACGAAGTTCGGTTCTCTATTCTAGAGATCTTCCACCGAAATATAATGCTTTTTTTTTGAAGATGTCTATTTTTTGATAATCAATTTTTGATGTTTTGCTTTTTTTATGTTTGTTGTTTGTCTTTTGTTTTTTTTGTGATTAGACTTCTTTAGACTTCTTTTAGACTTCAGTTCTTTTTCTTTCTTCTCATTTTTGTAGGGAAATGTTTATATCACAATTAATATTTACAATTTTTCTTTAGGGGTTCGGGAAGCCATTATTTTACAACCAAAACAAATTTTTTTTTTGCACGCGCACGCGCGTTTGTAGAATTTTTCTTAGTCCTACTGATTTTCGCTCTCGTTACCTTTGGGGTATATACATAATATGAAAAAGAAATTTTAAAAAAATTTAAAAATTATTTTATTTATTTTCTTCAACTTTCCATTCGCTTCGGGCACTCTTCAAATTTATGTCCCAACGTGTAACAAAACTCACACGGCCGCTTTGGACAGTTGGCTCTGATGTGAGGTTCAGTTGTTGGGCACATTGGGCACAATTCGAATTGGCATGTAACAGCGTGCTGCCCAGGCACTGTGCTCGTACATCCCCGGCATATCTGGGATTGAATTGGAGTGTAGTGTATTACTTGGGGTTGACTTACCAATGGTTGACCTTCCCACCTACCCTCATATATGTTTGCGAAACCTCCCTGTAAATGAAATGGACCAGGGAGCTGTTGAATAGCTGGTGCCATTCCAAACTGAGGTTGGACATATTGTGGAATAAATGGTGCTGAGATGCCAGAAGGCATTGGTGTTGGTGCATTTACTAAGGGCACAGAAGGACCAGAGATTCCAGAAGGACCAGCCTGAAAATTGGGTGATGAGATCTGAAGGGCCTCTACCCCTTTTAGGGGAGAAGGCTGGGGTGGTACCGTTACCTCCATTCTCGCCTCGTACCCTCTCATCGCTGTGTCCAAGAAATCGGCCCCTTCTGGGTGTTTTACCTCTGCATAATGGTCTTCAGCTACTGGCATCCTGCCCTGAAAGTCTGTTAAAACCCCATCTACCCTTTGAGTATTTCCACTTAGCATTAATCTTACGTATTCCGGCACGACAACAACTGTTTGGCTTCTAGCTTCATGAATGAAACGCGACCAGACAGCTCCATGTTTGCACAGAATCGTGAGATCACCTATAATAAATAAACCAAACCTTGCCCTAGAGAGCGCGACATTTGAGCGTTGGGGGTCAGTCCAGAATGTTGCCGTTTCTTCCTCTACTTTTTTGGCGCTACCAGTTCGAGTCTTTGTTGTGATAAGCAATACTATATCCGCCTCCTGACTTTGTATGCTGTCTACTGTAGAGCAGCTTACATTCCTGACTTGCCTTGCCTCCAATTGTTCTTTTATCACATCCATTTGAGCCATATAGAAGCAAATTACTAAGATTCTCTTACGCCTGGCGAGTAGTGGCTGGCTTAATATGTCGATTAAGGCCATGGCCGTTTCAGTGTCGCATCCTGCATGGTCATGGTGTTTTGATGTATGAGTACAATGGGACAGGTCTGAACAGGAAGGTTTATACCAATTTCGTCTGTGAGTAAATTCCTCTGCGCTTCTGTAAGTCCCGCGCGGAATTGCTCTCCTGCTGGTCTATAGACACTGGCTTCTAGGCATCGCACAATACTGGGATGTGACCTGAAAGATACTACGAGTCTATTATTACTAATACCTGCGTAGTCTTGCACGATCCCAATTATTGAGTTCATGGCCCACTTATTCCTTACTACTTGTGGCTGACTTGGGGTATAAACCTGTAACTGCAGGTAGTCGCCAGTAAGCAAAAGTTTTCGAAGATTCCTGTACTGGCAGATTGTGGAAAGAATAGCGTTGTGCTGGCACTGTCCAACTTCATCCACCACCATATGAGTTATGGTGGGTGTTATTACAGACTTGTTCTCACGCGGGCTTGCCATGCTTGCGTCTAGAAATGACTGGAATTCTTCTGCCAAAGCCATGGTCATGAAAAACACCCTAAACTTTTTAAGCTGGCTTACCTCAAACGAGGCTGCTCGCTCTTGAGCCCTTCTTGGCGCTCTTTCCCAATCTCTTTCATATTTCTGAATTAATTTACCGCTTTTCTTCATCAACTCCTCCCGAATGTCTTCATCCTTCACTCTATGAACAACTAAATGTTCACCCACCTGTCTGATTCTTTCCATGTATCGGGCCTTTCCATTACCTGAGAAGATGGCCAACATGGGAACTTGTTGGCCAGCCATTCTCATTGCCTTATCCGTGTCTTCGGCAAGTTCACAAACAGCTACATTTATAGGTGCTGTGGCCAATATACTGCTTTCGGGTCCCGTTGGAGTGTCGCCGCTATTGCCGCCCCCGATACCCAGGTCTTACCCGTTCCTGGCGGGGCTTGATTAAATATTACTCTGGGTCGGTTATCCAGGAACATCGCAACAGTTAAGAGCTGTTGCTCATTTAATGTTTGAAGGGCCGGGTGTTCATCTACAATGCCTCCAATGTGTTGAGGTGGTGGCGGTTCCCTGCGTTCACGACCTAAGAGAGCACTTGCAATTGGGGCAATGGGATGATCAGATTGGGCAAGCGACCAGGGAAGTCCGTCCATGAGAGTCAGTTCCCTTCGGTGTAGCATTTTTGTGTTGGAAATCGGTATTATTCTAGCCTCCCATTCACTGGTTACTAAGTCATGCCAATCGTCAAACCCCCGTTCGTAATTTTTTGCGTCTTGAAAGCGGGCCGCCATAACTATTTCCATGTTATAACCATCTCTTGTTATGTTTTTCCTAGCTTGCCTTATTTCGCCATATCCGCAAACTTTAGTATCATGATCAGGTCTTTTTATGTGTACGTTAGAATCTTCTTCGTAAGTTTTCCAATAACCTTGAAGCTCTTTAAGGTCTTTTGTGTGGATAAAGAATCTCAACAATAGGGTCTTGTCAACGGTCTTCTTTTTGGCTTTGTCATCTTCTAACCAGTACAGGATAGACGTGACTGAATGTTTGATTAAACGACGCTCTTCAACATCTCGCTGGTGTGCTACAACAGCTGACATTGCTGCTAATGTTAAACCTACCCTAGACGACGAGAAGTTTGCTCGAAGAGGATAAGAAATCTGGTCTGACAATGGCCTAGCTCCGATAATAATCCAGTTCTGGTGCGCCCATACTTCATCACCGACAGAATGGAGTTTTCTCAGGTAGAATATATGAGGAACCCATTCTCCATATCTGTGGGGAATTAATTGCACACAAATTTACCTCGATAAAGTGACCGGTTCTCAGGTCTTCATGGTGAATGTTTGTGAGTTGTCTGGAATTAATAACCTGGCTACGAAGCATATCCGGTGCCATTAGCTCCGCTGATTTAAATGTACCCCTTGCTCTGTTAATGTTCACAGAAACTACTAAGGCTGGTAGCCAAGTTGGGGCTTCTCTAACTAATTCAACTGTTGCCGACGTCGCGGTGGCCTGGTAGTTTATTGTACCTGAAAATAACCACGGGGGATAACGCCCTTGGGCCGCTGGATCATTCGGTCCATTTGCCGCGAATTTACCTAACACTTCATACCCCTCTCTGTCCTCCCATTCACCTACCTCAACAAGATCCCCCAACTGTAATTTTCGGTGTTCCCCTTCCACCAAGTTCTCCGGTATTTTAGTAAAGAATGGCCCTTTTCCTGATATTCTCGCACCAATCAACTCTCCATCTTTGGCTCTTGCGATCATGTACCTTAATGGACCTTTACCTAATACAGCTTCATCATCACGAACCGGTTCTGGTGTTGACGAAGTGATTCTTGCCTCATCTGGGAGGTCTTCAGGATTTATTCGCTCCGACTGCTGAGAGCTCGTAGGCTGGTCCCAACCACTATCTTTATTAGCCCATTCTGAGACCCCTGAAGATTCCCCTTCACGACCCGACGACTGTAAAATATTTTTCATTTTTGTGCCAGAAGGCACTTCATACTCGACACTTTTGTTCATGCCAGAAGGCACTTCAATTTCGCTCGTCTCTGTGTCAGATGACACCGACTCTATGTCCATATCCTCATACTCTGGGAGTTCCACCTGACTTAACCTTGCTCGGATTTTCATTAATATTTTACCCATTTTATTTGTTCCGAATTTCTCCGATTCAGGCGTGAACTGCTCCAGAATAGGATCACTCATACCATACCCAACTCCCCACTCACTATCTCTTGGATTGGCCTCTAATATCCACCCTTAACCTGTACTCAAGAGGAGACGCTTTAGTTCCGCATTCTGGTTATACTTTTCGAACGCTATCTCCTCAATAAGCGTCTCTTTTACCTTGGACCACTCTTTCTGTATTTTCAAATCCCCCACTACTTCTTTGCCAATCCATTTATAATTCCGTGGATGAACTTTCTTTTTTATGCCAGAAGGCATTTTATTGTTACACCCCCCACCCAAATGTTTTAACGACTTTACCTTGTTAGCATTCACCATATCCCCGAAGAAGTTAGCTTTTTCCCACACATACGCCTGCTCTACACAATCAAAGGATAAGTTTTTCCATACCAGTGGAGCATAGAAAAAGTTTGACAACGGGTGGAGCTGCCCTAAGAAAGGATAGGCTTTACCTCCCATTTTCAACGTAACCACTGGAAGCTCGTTCTTCCACTCACTCTCATTATTATGCCAGAAGGCATTTAATTCATGATTATTTGAAGACATTTTTTTTTTAATAAAGAATTAATAATAGATTTTTTTTATTATTATATCTGAAATTGAGATAAAGATTTTAGTTAACATTATATTGAGATAATTCGCGATAAAATGATGGTATATTTACTGATTTCTAGGCCTTAGATTGTATCTGTGAATGTTTGGGGTTTCTTGACATTCGGTATTGTCTCGACTCTCATTATCAGCATGATTAGTATTTTGGATGGAATCAGTGTTTATGTTGTGATCAAATCCCGGGATATGTTCAATTTCTATGGCTTCTGCCATTTTTAGAGAACTTTTTTCCTCCTGTGATAACCCTGGAATTGTACAAACTGGACCCAGAGATTCAAAACATTTTTTAATCTGATTTATATGTACCTTCCTTGGGTTAGCCTGTGGAGAATTACAACTAGTTATTGTGACGTATATCCCTTCTATATTTATTACTCGATATATGCCTTTCCAAGGGAGGTGGAACTTCTTCGAAGTTCCGGGCTTTCCTGCGTAGTTGCGGATTAACACCCTATCCCCTATTTCAATTGTCGGAACCCTTGTATGTTTATCATATTGCTCTTTTATTTTTATTTGTGCTTCCTTATGGGCTTCTGCTGCTGATTCCCAGGCTACCCTGAGTGACGTAACAAGCAATTGCTTGAATTCTGCAGTGTCATTAAAGGCTATTGGGTCGCGGACTCTTGGATCTAATATTTGGTCAACGCAAAAAATCGGGTCTCTCCCAAACATTAAATAAAACGGAGTTTCATTTGTTGTGTTATGTACCGCAGTGTTATAGCAGAAATTAGTAAAGTTCAAAAATTCATCAAAATTAGGCTGATTTTTAGTTATGTATTTAGAGAGTATGTTATTAAATGTTCTAAACGTTCGTTCTGTTATCGCATTACCTTGGGACCAGTTTGGAATAGCATATTTTTTGTTTATATAAAGCATGTGGCAAAATTCCTTAAAGAACTCTGAGGTAAATGTCGTTGCGTTGTCAGATATTAGTTCAGTACAACCCCCAAATTTAAGATAGTATTCATTAAGAAAGGCTTTAGCTATTGTTTGGGATTTTGTGTCTGGTACAGGGACAGATATTATATACTTTGTAAACCAGCATATTATATTTAATATATATTTATTACCTTTTTCTGTGACTGGGAATGGTCCGGCCAAGTCTAGCCCTACTTTTGCAAATAATGTATTTGAAGGTGCCGTTGCCATTTCAGCCCTATAAGCTGGGGTAGGAGAGTGTCTTAATTGACAGGTAATACATTGTTTTGTCCACTCATTTATGTCAGTATACATCAATGGCCAAAAATACTTTTGACATTTTCTTATTGTTTTCTTAACCGAGAGATGCCCCCTCCTAGAGGTGAATTGTGAAAGGATTCAAAAATAAGGGATCTAAGAGAAACTGGAATGTAAAGTCTCATTTTAAAACCAGAAGGTTTGAAGTACAGAATATCTGAATCTAAACAGAGTGTTGCAGCTCTGTTAACAAAACTAGCAATTTCTGCTTCTGTGAATCCTTCTGGGGTAGTACCATTTTCTAGAAAGTCTATATATGCTTTTGCTTCAGGATCTTCTCTTTGTTCTGTTTTAATATCTACTGTAAATGATTGCCCTTTATTGTCTCTTAGAATTACTGAATTAATTATTTCATCTGTTGTTAGTCTACTACTAGGTCTTATCGCTAAGCACACTGGAAATTCTGCGATATCTTCCAACTTTTTTAGGTTTTCAATTTTTTCAGGTGCTTCTTCATGAATTCTAGAGAGTGCGTCTGCTAACGAGTTTTGTTTTCCCGCTATATGTACTATTTTTATCTGATAAGATTGGAGTTCTATTAGCCATCTAGCGAGGTGTGGGTGTGCCTCAGCTTTCTTTAATAGATACGCTAGAGGTTTGTGGTCCGTGTGTAGTTCGACATCGGACATAAAAATGTAAGGTTTAAATTCCCGAAGAGCAAAAATTATAGCTCCTAGTTCAATTTGAACTGGAGGCCATTTTCGTTCTGATTGGGCTAAAGTCCGACTGCAATATGAGATGGCTGAATAGGTCCCGGTATTATCGTTTTCCTGCATTAACACCCCAGCTTGCCCTACAGTCGATGCGTCTGTGAATATATGGAACGGTTTTGAATAGTCCGGGAAGATTAACGACGGTTCCTGCGCAAGTAATTCTTTTATTTTATCAAGCGCACTTTGTTGCTCGCTTCCCCATACGTAAGGTGTGTCTTTTTTTGTAAGTCTTGTCAACGGTTCAACAATTGTGGAGAAGTCATGAATATGCCTACGGTAAAAGGAGGCCATTCCTACTATTCTTTTAATCCCTTTTACATTTTCAGGAGGGGCTAGATTTTTGATTATTTCGATTCAGCTTAGGCTTGGTTTGTAACCATTTGCGTCTAGAATGTGCCCCAGAAAGTGCATTTTATTAGACCCAAATATACATTTTTGCGGCTTTAGTTTTAAATTGAAGTGTCTAAATCGTTCAAAGACTTTTCTAAGAACATCTATGTGTTCCGAGAAATCTGGGGACTTAGTGAAGATTAGTATGTCATCTACATATGAGATAACCGAATCTTCCAACCCTGATAAGACATTAGTCATAGCTCTACAAAAGACGGAAGTTGCGTTTTTTAAACCAAATGGCATATGCGTCATTTGATATATTTTATCCTCAGTTATAACCCCGCATTTTCTTGAGGCGTTATCCGTTAATTTTATTTGTAGGTAGCCACTAGCAAGGTCCAGAGAGGAATAGAAGTTACAGTTCCCTACTTTTTCCATTATTACTTCCAACCTAGGTAACGGATAGTGGTCGGGGACTGTTATCTCATTTAACTTCCTAAAGTCTAAACAAGGCCTAATACTCCCATCTTTCTTTTGAACTACTACAAATGGAGTGAGCCAGGGAGTGTCCGATTCAACCATAACACCGGCTTTTACCAGCTGGTCAATGTGTTTTTCTAACTCTTCCTTATATCTGAAAGGTGTGCGTCTCGGTTTTGACGCGACTGGTTTTTCAGTCTCGGTTATAATATCATATTGACCATCTGAATAAGAGCCTAAGTCGTATTGACTTTTGCTAAAAATATCATGAAATTCCTCACATAACTCTTTTAATTTATTTAAATCTTCTTGATTAACCTGAGCCTGCGTGAAATCTATCTTAAACTTTGGGTCCTCAATTATTTTAGTATTTTCTTGTGATATATTATTTATTTGCTCAGTCTCTATTAGTATATTAGGGTTCATTGAGTCAAGAGTTAGTGGAGATGAGAGTGCTATATGTTGATTTTTATGAATGTTTATTATGTTTTGTGTTGGGTTTGTTAATACAATTTTTATTAAGCCATTTTGTGAATTATTTACTAGGGGCACCATTCCTATATTTTTCTCCCTCATTTTCTCTTCAAGATGTGTGATTATGTAAGTTGAGTTAGTGGCTATCTCATTTTCAATGGTTCCTGTTATTATTGTTTCAGAGTTGGGATTTAAAGAAATAGAGTTAGCTGATGAGATTCTAAAATACATATTGTTAGGATGATCTGACATTTTTATTGGTGTACGCCCAAACTGTACTTCCCTATTCTTTAAATCAATTGAGACTGAGGGCCAATGTTCAAGAGTGTCACATCCCAGAATAATATCAAATGTTTTATTAGAGAAGGTCTGACTACTTATAAAGTTTATTGTTATTTCTATTGTTTTTTGAGCTATTGTTATTGAGACCTGGCTTTGGTAATTTACTTGAATCGCATGCCCAGATGCACTTATTGCTTCAGAACTTGACCTAGTTAGAGTGCAACCTAATACATTCGCAAGCTCTATCGGTGCTACAGTAATACTTGCGCCTGTATCTATAAGACATTTGATTGGTAAGTTATTTAATTTTGCATTAATTATCGGTAAGCGTCTATACTGATCATTAACTGTTAAGAGCATTATTGAAGATTCACTACTGCTTGGTGGTTTTGCTATGGGGGTGTACCTAATGGAGTTAGTTAATTTTGACCTTTCTATTTTGGGTGTAATTTCTTGTAATTCAAGTTCACTCTGCCTTGGCTTTTCTATTGCTTTTAATTTCCTAACAGTTGACGCGTTTTGAGTTAGTGTCCCAAATAATATTCTGCCTAGCCTCCCATTTCCTGCGTAGCTTTCAATTATTACTAGGGCAATTCTAATTACACAATCCAAGAGTGAAATACATGCTATTATAGTTATAAAAATTCGCCATTCTTTAGTCCAATCCCCAAATATTTGTTGACTAATTTCATCCCTAGCAGTTTCCCAAGGTTTAGAAAATTTGGTTACTATTTTTTGGTCTTTGCTTGTAATTTGGTATGAAATTTCACTCACCTTTATCAGGTTGCTCATGTATGTATGTTGATTAATATCAGTGATGTTTATCAATACCAGTTGGTGAAAAGAGTGACTAGAAAGTTTTGGGAGTTCTTCAAATCTTGGGTTGAAGCTTCTTTGAGGGCGGGCTTCTATTCTTCTGAGTCTGGCAGTTACTTGGTCTAGTTCAAACGTGTCGTTATCAAGTTGAACAATTATTGACCGTGCATGTCCACAGTTCAATTTCTTTGCTTCTGGAATTATTTGCATTGTGTGAGGATTGAAGAATGCTGACTGTTCCGATCCATGAGTTGAAAAGCTTACGGGTGGATATTCAAAGCATTGGTGTGACGAACCTGTTGGGATAAATCGAAAGTGATTGTGGGGAATTACTATACATGGCCATACTTTTATTAAGTTTGTACCCCTTCGCTCTGCGTGAATGTTTGAATTCTTAAATAAAATTCTTGCAAGCGTTGTTGGGTCCGCTAACATCGCTAGTTCGGCCCATTTCCAGGTTTCTTCCATTAAATTACAAATAGTATTAAATGTGTGTGAAAATGTGAATGTCATGGAATTGCTTATTTGGAGTTCTAAATATGACATTTCTGCAGCCAATTGGCTTGAAGTCACTAATCCCTCAATGGCCCTCTTTACCCTTTTTCCCGCTGGAGCCTGATTAATTTTGGAGCCTATTACCCTATAAGCGAGACCTTGCTCAGTCAGAGTTATTTCCCTATCACAATCATTTATTTTCTTTAAAGGCTTTGTGTCAGATAGCGCAATCGGATCCTTTTCTGCAACCCATAGATGATCGACTACTTGCCCATTTTGTTGGCTTATTGACAGAAATTCACAATTCTTTCCTAGTGCTGGTACCCATATTATAGTAGTGTCATCATTAAGGGAGCAAGAGCCTATGTCATAAGGGCAGTTTCGGGTTACTCCAAAAGGAGTTTGAATTGATTTCTCTCCAAATCGCGAAAGAACCTGAGTGGGAAATATATAACAATTCTTAGAGACTACTTCCTGCCACGTAAAGGAACCTAAAAGCCAAGTCCTAGGTGTAAGATCTAGTTTATTGTTAGTATGAAACAGTTCCCCCTCTTGCTGGAAAATTCCAAATTCGCACTTTTTGTGATCTACCATGCTTTTACATTCCTCGGGTGAGATTTCCAATGATTTTATTTCCCCTGGTTTTTCTATCGGAACTCCGGAAAGTGAAGTGTATTTAACCATAGATTTAATTATTTTCCTGCAGGCCCATGCTTTAGTTTTATATTCAAGATTGTTAGGTACGAAAATTTGTCTCGTTTGTGGGATTGGCGGTTTTGTAAGTTGGTTTTTAACTTCAGGACATTTTGGAAATTCTGGGAGTGACCATAATAATCCATGTTCTCTTGTTTGACATATTAATGGTTGTTTCGGAAATGGACTGTTTGCGCCTAGAGCTGTTATAATTGAAAGTATAAGAGCTATAAAGAAAATATGATTTAGTCTGGGACCCATTGAGATTCTTTCCCAGTTAGTTACGTTTGGCGTTACTGCTTTATTTTGTGGTTTCATTTCTTTCAAGTTAGAGTTTGTTAATTGTTCTTTATGTTCGGTTTCTACTTCTTTACTTATTATTGGTTGATGTTCAGTTATTGTATTTACAGAGTCTTTTTTGTTAGTTTGAGTTAAACTTAATTGCTTAGCTAATTGGTTTGCCAGTTCTGAGATGTTTAGATTTTGGTGTGCGGGGTTTGGGATTTGTTGAATTATTGGGTAAGCTGAGGTATGGTAGATTTGCCTATGAGGAATATATTGGGTTTCCTGTGAGTAATTTTGATGATTTTGCTCCACATAATTTATTGGGAGTGGAATTTTATTTGGGTTCTGATTTTGTCTGTTCGGATTTGGATAATTTCTATTATTTTGCCATGTCTGTGTTGTAGTCGGTGGATTTCGCCTGAAACAATTATAAGAACTGTGACCTACCTTTCTGCAGTGTTGACATACTGGTCTGCCACTCCATCTACGATCATTCATGTTCCTGTTTTGATATTGGTTCCTCCTTTGAAAGTTGTTCTGGTTCCAGTTATTTTGAGGTTGTCTTTGGTAGTTGTTGTCTCGTTTCTGAGTATTGAATTGACTTGCATTATATTGTCGTTGTGGCCAATTACTGGTTGATGATGATTGATGTTGATTATTCTGATTTGGATTTCGTACCCAGGAATTAATATTGGTTTCAGGAAGTTTAGGGTTTTGAATTATATTAATTGAATTAGCTAAACCCCTTGGGTTATCAAATGAAAACGAATCGTTAGTCGCGGTTAATACTTCTATTTCTTGTGCCTTTGCGTATAATTCATCTAGGTCTTTGGCCGATCCTACTATTCTAATTAGAAAGCTTATATTAGGCCTTAATCTCTCTAAAAATTCTTCGCGAATTTTGGCCTGCTTCTGTGCTTCAGTTTCATTTTCAAAAGTGGCCCGTACTAATGGGACTAACCGAGTCATGAATTCTCTAACAGTTTCGTTGTTTCTTTGTTTACACATCATTAATTCTCTTTTTGAAATTTCTAACCTATGTGGAGCTGCTAATTTTGACCTGATAGCACTTAAAGCATTTGAAACCGTATCTTTTTCATTTGGCCTAAGTTTATCAAAAATGGACCTGGTTGTACCCTCTAAATGAAATTTAAGTCTGTGCAATTTAGTGGCCTCATCCCAATTCGCTGGTGCACAGTCAAGAAGGTCCTTAAATTTTTGTGCCCATGTATCAAAAGTAACTACCGATTCATCTTTGTATGTGGACATGATTCCATCCTTTTCAAGTACATTAATCATATTAATTTGATCTGCTTCACCAACAATTGTATCGTCAATTGCTTCGTGTGTTTGAATATCTGCCAACGTTTGGTTAGCCGATTCTAAAGTGTTATTAGTGGAGTTCATGTCCAAGTTTGTCTCAAGTTTGGTTACTTTTTGTGATAGCGTATCAATGCGATTATTTATTACCTCTAAATTTGCATTAACCCCAGCTGCCATATCGTTAATTGCGGTGGTATTACTGGTCGCGCGTCTATTTACTAGTCTTAGACTTCGGTTTATTGCTTCTTCTAGTGTGTGCGTTATATCATACATGCGCTTTACATCGGATTGCCGCGCGATTTCACTTTCATTTTTATTCCAAAAGGAATTTTTTGTAGTTACAGATACTGATATATCTGCACTATTGGGAGGGTCTCCCATTGAATGTTAGGACTGTTTGGAGTTAATAGAATAAATTTGATTTTAATTAGAATTAAATCTAAAATTGAGAATTTATTTACGTAAAAAATTATATTTATTTATTTCTATAAAATTAATAGAATTTTATTCAGAAAAAGACCAGCTATACTTAATCTATTAGATGGATTTTTGAAAATTTTTAAGTTTTTCTTAACGCTATTTATTAGTCGTAAGCTTTTCTTTCCTAAGTGTATTATTTTGAAAAGTGATATTAATTCTTTCTAATGAATATAATAATATTTATTAAACTGTTATCTTCCCATGTTTGTTTATTTGCGGAGATTAGTCACAAGCTGCGATTTTATTTCCTGTCACTTCTCCTTTTGGAATTTTATATTAATATATAAGCTTTAATAACTTTGCTTCACCTTTATTTTATCCCTTTTCCCATACACCCCTTTTTATTAGTTTAATCTTCGCATTATCTATCCCCTTACTTTAAGGTTGCCTTTGTAAATTAAACTTTATCCCCTCACTTTGGTTCTTGTGTTCAACGTATACTAATCATGCTGATTGGATTTGTGGTTGGACTTTGTATCGGGAATATGGTATTAACATATATATTCGCGAATGTAATTGTAGATTGGATTAAGCATTAAAAAATTAAGCATTTAAAAAATTTAAAGTAATTTTAAAAAATTAAGGTAATTATTTAAAGAATTAAATTTACATTAGAGTAATTTAAAATTTGTAATTGTAAAGTTAAGAAATTCGAACAGAATTTCTCAAAATAACACCAAAAAAATTCGAAATGGCTTTTACAGATTAAGAAATGTAGAAATTTTGAGACTTATGAATAAGCAATTAATAATAACCTTTTTACGCATTAATGCCTTTTTGGGAAGTTTTGGTATTTTTGTTATTCGCGAATTTATTACCCGTTAAAATTTTAAAATGAAAATTTGAAATTTAAAACATAATGAAACTTTAACACATAATATTTAAAACTAGTAAGAGAGAGGTAAAAGTTTGATCCATAAAAATAATGATTAATTCAGAAAAGTAATGATATAATCCTGAAAGGTAAAGATTTACTTCCTATGTTATTATTTATTTCAGAATAATTAAAAAGATTCAAAATTAAAGGAGTTCTATTTGTAACAAAGGATATTTTCTGAATAAAATTATTTTTTTTTGTATAATACGCACTATAATTATTGAATGGTTATTCCCGTTGATCCGGAAAAATTGATAACTTTTTGGCAGTTTACTTTTTGCACAAATAGTTAAAATGTCTGTGAAGAATAATTAAAATTTATGAGAAAACTGATATATTTAGAATAAAATACAATCACGAAATGAATACATTTTTGTGTGAACCATTTATGAAATTAAAATATGTATGTATGTTTTTTAGAACTTCTTACCCGGTCATAACTGTTTCTTAACGATTTTTAACGAAAAAATTTAATATTTCTTTATTTAAATTTGTATATATGTACTTATAGGTATGACTGATAGACTTTTCTGAAAAATTCTTTTTTTTTTATATTATTTTTCAAAAATTCAAATTATTTTCCGGAAAGTTGTTTTTACCATATTCTTTTTCGTAGTACGATAATTTTTTTTTGGTAGTAGACCTAATATAATTCTAGCTGTAATTGAGAGTTAAATTTGTTTATTCAATTCAGACACTTGGCAAAGTTCTAAAAACAAGCGAGTAATCGTGTATACAATATTTGAAATTGAGGTGAGTTATTTAGTTTTATGAAAGACCATTTTCTTTTAACTTTAATTTTTTATAACCATAAGGTTTTCTTTACCTTATATATATTTAAAAAAATATATATTAAAAAAAATATAAAAACAATGATTAAAGTTGTTGTTACGAATGCAATTATTAAAACACACTAAAATGTAAGAAACTAAAAAGGAAAGATTTCTTTTCTAATGTATATTAAATTTCTTTTTCCAATGAATCATAGTAAGAGGTCTGGTCAGAGGTAAAATAAAAGTAGGTAAAAGTTTAATTTTTAAAATTTAATAAGAGCGAGGTAAAAGTTTAATTCAAAATGTAATAATGAAAAGTTAATGTCGAAGTTCTAAAAACAGTAATCGTGTATAATGAGTTCTAGATTGAGTTGAACTATTTAGTTTATGATAGGGCCTTTTTCTATACTTTGATTTTTGACTAAGGTTTTCTTTTAATTACATATTCGAAAAATAATGATTATGCATTGCTGCTATGAATGGAAATTTTGAAACACACCAAAATGTAAAAACCTTTTTTATTTTTATATTAAGAAAATGCTTTCCTTTCCTAATGAATCTTAATAAAAGGTTTGGTTAAGATTGCGGGAAAATAAAATAATAGTAAAGAATTTGAGAATGTGTCTGGAAATGTTTTAAAGGAGAATCAGGTGCCAGCCAGTTATAAATAAATTTAATGAATAATTTAATAACATTTTTTATGTGTATTAAAAATTTTACAAAAAACCCTCTTTTCAATATATTTATAAAGGGGAATTGTTGTCTGAAAACTTAAAATAAATTCCCTTTTTGTAATGTTATTAAGGCCATTTCTTTTTTTTGCGCCAGATGGCCACTAACATCAAAACACAAATTCTTTCTTATTAGTAATGTTTTGTAAAAAGAGTGATTTTTTCTACAACAATTATTGAAAAGAGAAGAAAAATTAAAATATATATTTTTAAGGATTTTATACGAATTAAAATATGAGAATAGTATGGTATAAAATATAAGAATAGCACAGTTTATGAATTAAAATATGTATTTTTATGGATTTTATCACACCAAAAAAAAAATTTCCTTAAAAATTAGAAACTGTTCTTTTCAAATTAGTTATTATAAACTTATTTTCTCAAAAATATATTTTAAAAATTCTACATAATTAACCTTTTGATTACCTTACTTATCAATGTTAGGGGATAAACGAGATCTCTTATTTTCTAATAACATTTTCTTTATTTAAAGTCTTTCAGTTAAGATCTTTTAATTGTAAGAATTTTCCGTAAACATGGGAAAAAATAAAGAAATGTACTTTTCTTTCTATAAAAAAACTATTAATAACGTTTTTTGTAACGGAAATTCAAAGAATATATTAACAAAGAATTAAAAAAAGGACCGATTTTTATTAGCTGTTCTGTCCCATACGTTTAATTTCGTGTTTTCCTTTCGTCTTTTTTCTCACAAAAATTCGATTTGGAATTTCTAAAGGAAGTTTTTCTAAAATCTAAACAATTTAGTCCTTCACTAAAATAAAAATATTTTCCTTGTCTCGAGCAAGTCTATAAATTTTTAGACAAATACCAATTTAGTGAGCATGAAGTTTTTTTCTTTTCTTTGTTAATATATTCTTTTTACACGTATTTGATTAACGGCCAAAATCTAATATTGAAAGAGACGACTGAACAAGAAAAATTGGTATTGACACTGAAAGACTTAATAATCCTAAGTGAAGTGAAAATGTATTTTTTTTCACACTATTATGGAATTTTGAGTAATAATTGTTTTTATATGTATATGGATTATGTAAAAAATGCTAAATATATATTTACAAAAAAAAAATTTACTAAAATTGTAAAAATACACTAATTTTTGAGTGAGGTAATCATAGATGTAAAAGCTTATTTTTAAATTAACAAAAATAATTTATAAAAAGTTTTGGTTATAGTTGACTCGTATTTTTTTTTTAGGTGCCTTAAGGCATTAGATTTTACTTAATTATAGATTTAAAACAATTCTCAAGAAAAATGTAACATTAAACTACACCTTTTTAACCTTATCATTTCACCTTATTAATATCTAAAAATTTATATTGGACTATAAGAGCTTAATGAAATTTTTACTGAGAAGGATGAGATACTTTTATATTCAGATTAGCTTATATGAAAAGAAAAGAAATTTTAATTTTTCTATTTTTGGTTTTTAGACTATTTTTAACTACCTCTACCATATATCCTTCTCATTTTTAAACTTCATTTGTCGTTAGTATGTAGCTAATTTGTAGTTTTCTTCATACTCACTTTTGTATTTCCATCCACGAGACTTTTGCCCATCCTAATTTTACCATGAGA